AAAATATAACTAATCCACTGCCTCAATAAAAAGAACATTGCTTGGTTCCTGAGCATTAGTCATTAGAAACAAAATGGTGTCAACAATGGTAGCGCAGCATTTATTATGGCAAATGTATGGATGTATTTTTTAATGTGAAAAAAATCCATTTTAGATTATGATTTGCCAAGCGAGCCTACTAAAATGAATGCTGCGCAGAGTTATTGTAAATGTTATGCTCTGAAACTAGTTTTCTTCTTTAATCACAGGTCAAGATCTTTCCTCCTTTTCAGTCCATTAGCAAGGGAGAAATGCCAGACCGAGGTGGGTGGATTTAACTCCCAGTTGAAAAGTTAAGATGGTATCATTACTTGAGCACAGCATGGATTCTTTGTAATCCTCTCTGAAACTTACAAGTTTAAATGTCCATGCATGATGTCATTAATGGGCTTTGGGAAATACTTCAGATACCAATTTTGAAAGCTACCTCTGAAAAAGTCCTACTGTACATAGCAACAGGGCTCTAACTAACTTCAGACAGACAAAACTAATTATTTATTTATTGGATTTATTGATATGACTGCTCATCCAATATATGATACTGTTCAGCAAAGAAGTGTGATAAATAAATAATAAAAATATCAATTAACAATGAAAATCCCCAAAACGTATCTGGCCTATGGCAGCATATCTATCCACATTCACAACTGTCCCTCAAAAATGGTTCACTTAACTTCCTGGCCCAGTGCTCAGGAAGAAGCCAAGTTTTTACAGGCTTATGGAAGGCCATCCAGATATTAATCTGCTCCATAGGGCAGGTGCAATGACTTTGCAATGAGAGAGGAGGAACAATTGATGCTTTCAGTGGACCAAATTGTGAATGTTTATGTTTCCTGGTACATTCTTCAAGAACAGAAACATGTATTTTAGATTTTTGAAAATATCTCCAATATGATTTCATTTCTGTTTAGATTGCCTTAGATATTAATATATGGAACTAAAAGGAATGAGAGGAATTACCTTATGAAACTACAATTATGAAATTAAAATTCATTTCTATATCTTTCATATCACATTTGACAATGGGATCCTGAGGATTATGGAAGATAGAGAAGGCAGAGTAATGAGTAATTATACAGAACTGTCATACAAATCCTACATCTGCCAACTCTTGCCTAACAAAACCACATTAATCCCTATAAAAATCAATCAACAGTGGATCCACTTACTTTTTGCTTCAAGACTCCATACTGCTCAGATTGATACCAAGAACCAATCTAATCCCACCAAAATAAAAACAACTAGATAAAAGATATATGGGTGGGAACACTCCTCTTTTCTCCCTACCATGCACCAGAGAACATTATTCACAACTAGCTAATCATAAAAATCAATAATCACCCATCACTTTTCAGAAGAGAATGTATAATAATAACTAAAAATAGTCTTTATGTGATCGTCATGAAAGGAGTTGTAGATTCAGTGATTGGGGTTTGTAACAGTAGTAGTAGTGGTAAGTGGTAGCAACTCAAGATGGAAAGCATACATTGCATGAATCACCTACATAAAGATAAAAAAATCTGGCAACCTGAGGGCATTCATAAAAAGCTGATGGAGATGAAGTTAAGGAACTTGGAAATAACAAGAATGAAGCTGCTTTGCCCTCACCAGGCAGAGCCCACGCCAGATGGACAAGAGCGGGCAAGCAAGACTCTGAGCTCAGCCACCCCATCTCCCAGGAAACACCAATCACTGTTCGTGCCCGAGAGGCAACTGTTGCTTGTCATACAGCAGCCTGGTACTGCCCAGCATCCTGTCTGTTCACTGTCATTGCTAAGTCAGCAACCTCTGCTGCTGCTATTGCTGTAATAGCCTCAGAAGACTGACCCTGAAACCCACAGGGGTGAGTTGATTGAGGGCAATTTCTTACGAATGAGTCTCTGCAGATAAGCTCATGTTAATGAGATGAGCTTACTTCGAAACACAATGCAAAATAATAATCATTAAAAAAAATATATCCAGCACTGACACATATCTTTTTCAATCTTGGGGTGCTCTTTCAATCCATTTTGGCAGAAACTTGCCTGCTCTTAGTAGTCTCAGCTCAAAAGCAACAAGTGCAAGAATTCAGCAGGCCAGCTGCCTGAGCCTGCCTGCTGCCTTCCTGTTCTAAATGATCTTCAGCATCTTTCATCAAAGGACTGCACTAAGATCACATTGCACTGTGCTAGTGAACAACCAGCATGGAGTCAGGCTCAGCAGCAATAACAGCAACATGGCAATGTTCCTGCCCAACCAATCCCTCCTGGTGGCTACCCAGGAGAGCAAAAATCCATACATCTGCAAAGGTTTTGTTCCTGAGCTAATGGCTCTTTCTTGTCAATTCTGCAAAGGGCCTGAAATGAATCAAATGTTGGGTTCATCTCTGAATAAATCCTCTCTTGGTTTAATGTGTTGAGAAAGAACAGAAGGGGGAAAGGAAAATTTACAACTGAACCACAAAGCTACTTCATTGAAGGACTTCATTATAAACATCTGAGATTCCAGTAGAGCAATAACAATAAGGTAGAAACCTCATCTCTTGTTACCTGAGGAAATCAGACTGAGTGGATGGAACTTACTGCTCAGTAAGTAATTGTCATCATAGGACAATGTTGCACATTGATTTCAGTCAACTTAATAATAAACCTATTAATGCCTTGAATTAAAATGTTCAATCTTGGTCAAAAGTGTTGAGTATTTTTAACAGTTTCTTCAAAAATGTCCTTAAAAGTTAAACCTGCTAATAATTCCAATTGATATAGGAAGCACCATAATCAATACTCAGGGATTATATAAATGAGGGTTATGAAATATACATCATGTCAAAATTTTGAAATAACAATGGGCTGTAGTAATTTCAATTTATTTGGCAGTCACTAGTCCACATATAGACTTGTTTAGATTAATGTAAGCTTTTATCTTTTAAAAAATCAGCTTGCATACTCCAAGTTGGCATTGAAATGCCTTTTTTTTCTTAATGTTACTACCTGTTTGCTTTCTGCTTTATAATCTCCATCCACCATACTATCACAATTTATTAAGAGTTTCGTGCCATACAAACAAATTCCAGTAGATCCAACTCTTCATTAACAAAGGAACACTTATTAACAAATGAAGTGAAATTAAAAGAATTAATGAAGTGCTTGGTTGGAAGAAGCCAAAATGCATAAGCACAAATATCCCTTTAGTAATTGTAGAGATTCATATCTCTGTCATCTTTTCTGCCCAATCCTATATTCTGTTTTCTGAAGGCTATTGGTTTGAGAGAGGAAGAAACAGACTTTTTTGATTGTGTGTTCAACAGGGCTCCTTATAATAGCCAAACACCTCCATTATTACCCAGATTTGTTTATTTATTATGAACAAAATAATATTTTATGCCCACAGCTAAAACAGTTTACTCCAGTATATTAAGTGAACTCGTAATGATCTGAGGATTATAATCTATGATGTGAACTCTGGAAATTTTATTATTAGTTTTTAGGATGTATGTTTATTATTGTCACTGCAGTAATGAAAATGTATTGTTTAAATTAACAAAACAGTTCAAATTTTAACAAGCCATTTTGACTTATCTCATAATACCTTTCTCTCAGTATTACCCAATACAGTCTGTTCATTAGGTACTTAGATTTATATTGTTCATGTTGCCAAGATATTCAAGAAAAGTGCTTGTGATCATTGACCTGCATTTTCATTTTAAGATAGGGATGAAATGTAATGACACTAACAAAATAATGGGCAGAGTAAGCATGACACCAAAGGGAGCATAATACAGACCATCTAGTATCACAACGTGCCTAGCTTTTTTTTAAACAAACAAAAAAACCCCTATTTCACATATCACAGAGATCTGTGAAGTCTTTTCAATAAATCTCCCTCAGACTAGGTTGTAAATTCAAATTTGTTAATATACAAAGAGAAGCACCAAATGTAACAAACTGAAGAGCTAATTGTACCAGAATTGTATCAGAATTACAAGTTCTTCCTGGAATACCAATTGTTGGAGGTACATTTATGGAGTAAACTGTTTACACTGTTTGTTTATTTTCTGGATTATATGAAGAACAGTTTCACAACCTGAACCTTTCTACAAAGGATTAGTCTAGCTCTACCAAACTGGGGGATGGGAGTTTGCTTGTCTGAAATAACTTTTAAATGAACACTTTTTAGTGGCTTTTTTGTTATGTGGTGCATTGTACAGCCTAGCAATGATATTAGTTCTAGTGTGGGAAAATATTATAATTGAGATCTGGTAAGTTATTTGCAGACTTCAAGTTTTTCTTTACACTGTTCTGACATTTAGCATAGCCCCAGTGAGGAAAACAATACTGCCATTCATGGCTCTAGACGTAGGTTTCAATCGACTTAAGCGGGCACAATGAAACTTGGTCATTCACTGGTTACCCATATTGTGTTCTCAAATTTTCTCTCAGCAAAAGTATAATGACTCAGTATTGTATGGCCACATAGACAAGGGCTCAGAACAAGAGACACTAGTTTTGTCTGACGGTGTGAGAAAGTCGTGAAGGGATCTTTTCTTCCAGATGGTGTTAAATTCAGCTGCCTTTTTAACATTGGCCTTGCACAGCAATCTGCTGCTCCCTTTTCAAAAGGAATAAGGCTTGGTTCCCACTAGTTAACATGCATACTCACGCAACCCTGCAACTTCACTCCCACTGTTTTACAATGCAATGGTATGCTAAATAAATTTGATCTGGGCTCTTCCAGTGTTAAAGCTAGCCTTCAAAGGACTACTCAGATTATACTTCTTTAGATTTAAATTTTATTTTTTAGGCTATTTTGAGCTCAAAAGAAAGATCCTGTTGCTAACAGTATTATTTCGAGAAACATACCATAAAATATGAACTTAATGAATTTCCCTTAGAATTGGTAGAAGTTGGAATATGTAAAATGCAAATTAAAATTATCTTAATTTGTACAAGTTTTGTGGAAGAGAAATAATAAATAATAAAAAATAACATTAAAATGTATTTTATTGATTGATACTCATGTAACATTAGCATGGTACAAAACAATTCTGATGTGACAATGGCTAACACAGAATTATTATCTCATAAAGAAAAAAATTAGGTGTTTTTCTTAACAAATTTACAAGAAAGTCAATGATGTAAGTAAAAAAAACTTATTTAGCAAAGTAAAAATAATTTTGCTCCATTTCATGTTTTTGGCTAAATAAAAGACTCCCCTTCATATTATCTTATTCCCTTAATTAAGCTTCTTAGAAAAAGAAAACCACGTACTTTGTAATGTAAATGTTAATTGTAGTAGACAATAGCTCTAGGTACACAGCACCCCTGGACATGCAGTAAAGAAAAAGCAGAAAGGCACTTAACAATGAAAGGTTGATTGCACAAACAGAACTTCTCAAGTAAACAAACAAGAATCTGTTCACTGGTCTCTGCAGTCGTAAACTCAGGCACGTGCACAGCTACCATGCTTCTCAGGACCTTTTATAAACAGAGTACCTGCACAGTTCTGTCTTCAAAATGCTGTACAAAGAATCACTATCTAAACTCCTTAAAATGTAGCTGCTGTAAAAGTATTGATCGCTGAAGGTCTGCTATAAAAATGATGTTTTATGCCATTTGTTATAAAACAAAAAGACCAAGTGCATCTCATTAATGCATTTAATTCTTTCTCAACACACACACACACACACACACATAAGATTAGACATGTGTATGTTGTACAATTTCAATTATGCCTTTTGTTTGGAGGGAGATTAAACCAAAATTGGGTTAAGATGTCAGTTCAGTGTATATTTGCTTGGCAGCAAGGATTCCTCAATGCACATGACTTCTGAGTAGCTTAGCAAGTAAAAAAAGTTCCTTTGAGCTGAGTTCAACTCCTAATGGCTTAGTAGACCAAGGTATTAGCCTACAATAAGATGGTTCTGAGGAGTCTGTATCTTCATTTGTGATAGATGAGGCATTTGGAGTTAACTGTTCACTGTGAAATCAAACTTATTTAAAACTTATATTTATTTACCATTCCAAAAAGATCAGCAAAGTACAATAGCAGGTTCTAGATAGATGGATGGAGGGAGGGAGGTAATGTTGTTGAACATTTGTTAGGCCATAACCTGTGTTGTGCATTTAACCAGAAAAGTAACTTTGCTTTTTACCAGTTCTTTGCTTTCTCTTTCCTGAGCTGTAGAAAATGTCTACATGAGAAGCAAAGCTACATTTTATTAGGAGAAGCTGAAAGAGTAATGATAGAGCTAACAGCAACAATCTGCAGTTCCAAACAGTTGGGGTCCCCCTCTTGGGTGCCTGCAGATGGCTGTGGGTGGGAAATGCCTCTACTTTCTTAAGGGATGGAGATGAGTCTGTGGTGCACTTGATGTTTTTTTCATAGGGAGCCCCCAGCAGGGCTGTCTATCATAGGCTGCCGGGCCATAGCATGGCCACTTGCCCCTGAGCGTGGGAATAGGAGCATCCAGCCGTTCACATCTCAGGCATTCCGTTTAACGGAATCAATTAGGCAAGACCAGACCCTCGGATTTCACCTCCCCCTTTCCTTTTATTCCGGGTTTTTTTTTTTTTTGGTCAGGTCTATATACGTCCTAATTATTTCAGTTAGGGATGCCAAAGCAGTTTCCTGGATAGATCTGGCCATCCTTAAACAAGAAGAGAGGAGGCGCACACACGTGGGTTTGGGAGTTAATGTCACTTTCATTTCCAATGCTACCCGCAGAATAAGACACAGACTACTTTTTAACATTTTGACAAGGGGGGAGGCAATCGCGTCTCCATCACGTCTTTCTGCTTCAGTAGCTTCCTCAAGGAAACCCTCTAGGAACAGAGAAGCATCTGTGCTTGCATTTTGAATAGGAGACTGATTTCCTTTTTTTTCCTGTTTTTTTTTAAATCAACCATAAGCTTCTCCAAGCCTCCTGTAACACAAACACACAGAAACACACATCTCCAATTTTGTGGTACTCCTCCAAATCCTCAATAAATATTAATGTCACCTAATGCCATGCAAAAAAAAAAAAAGTGCTTCCCCATTGAAATAGCAATACTCTGAGCAACACTCCAAAACTGTCAAGCAGATCTCACAGAGAAGAGAAACACAAACACACACATCTATTAAAAAATTGTTAAAATTATCTCAGATTCACACTAGGCCACAGCTGTACATTGCAAAACCTCCTTGACATTTTAAAAGTGCATGAAAGGTTTCAGATCCATACAAACACCTAGAAGCAAGTCTCATTGACCTCATGGAACTTACTTCTGAGCAGGATTAAACAGGAAAGAATCAAATTGCATTTTTAAACAGGATCATCTTTCATCGGCCCTCCCCACCCCTTCCCCACAGAACAGCAAAAACAAAACAAAACAAAAGCAAAACGTGGACATGCATTTGTTTTACCATGAGTACAATTTCCTCTTTGCAGCGTATGGTTTATTCTTCACCATCTTGTGCCCTGGTATCTCCTACAGATATGTCTCTATCGATACACATGTACATATGTCTTTGACACAGGCATGTTATTTCATTCTTTTTCTCCCTCTCTCTTGCCTTGATCTGCAGAAATGTGCCATTCAGTTAGCATCCTTGTTAGAGTTGGGCTTTTATTGTCCCTTGCGGGAGCTTTTCTTGTTTCTTGAGCAGCACGAAGATCATGAAGGAGTTTTTACTTTCGGTTATCTAGCTTTATGAAGACCAACACACTCATACAGCTAGATAACCAAAGATAACAACTCACTTCCCTCATATGGTTTGCAATGCTTTCAGCCCCTCCTCACTAGAATCCAGACTGTTTCCACAAACAGATTTTTCCAAGTCGACCTTGCGTCTCAAAATGCTCATCCTTTTAAAGCCATTATGACCTGCTACAGTCTGTGGAGCTTTGCGTGCTTCTAAGGCACATCCAGAAGATGTTATTGCCTTCAAAGTTTTACTCCAAACTTTTTTTCTTTCTTTCTCCTTTCCCTTCTGTCTTTCTCTCTCTTTCTCTCTCCTGCGCATGCTCTCTCTTTTTCTTTCCTTTCAATCCAGTAATTTCCAGCAGCAATGGACCAACTATTCATCTGTTAATATCAGAAAATAAAACCAGCTATTAAGGTGCATCAAGCTGTTAAGAGTGTGTAGCATCCATCCCTCCACAGGCCTCTATTTGCATTGTAAATTGCTTCATTCTCAGGAAAGGGTCTTTAACCTCTTATAAAGATGTAAAGCCATCGGCGATATTTCCAGCGCAGAGAAAGGAAGAAGATGGGGAGGAGAAGGGAATTCCATTTCAGCAGGATTGGCAAGATGACGGTGCTGGTGGTGCGAAGATTCAGCTCTGCCTTCTTTTTTTTTTTTTTTGGGGAGTGGGGGGGACTATGCATCATAGCACCCTAAACATTCTTATTTTAACCAAATGGTGGCAGCAAATATCTTGCGGGCTTGGTTGGGGAGGGCTGGGGGGGAAGCAACCTGGCAGATCCACGGTTTCTCCGGATTCTCAGAGCTGGGCATGAGAAGCTGCAGTCTTGCTGGCTTGCCGCTGCTGCTGCCCCCCGTCTGAAAAAAGGAGAAAAGGGCTATCATTGGTGGGCTTGAAGTGCCCAAATGTGGACCAGCCCAGCAAGGTCAGAGGTCCTGGACAGCAGGGGACCAAGGTAATGATGATGTCACGAGAAATTTCAAGTACACCCGGTTATTGATATGCATGAGAGATTCAGCAATCTGAGCCCTCCGCGCCAGCAATGAGAGCGGCGGAGGCGGCGGCAGCCTTTGGACCCGTTTACCTCTCCTCCCAGCCGGCGCTGCATCGCCTTCTCTAGCGCTACCGGGAGAAGAGAGGTTGGCACAGACAGAGGTTTCTAAAGCCCGCGGCCTTTTACCTTCCTGGTTGCTAATGCAGCTCGCTCTAACGTCCCAAAGATTGGAAGGATTTTCTCTCGCTCGCTCGCTCAGGATGCATACAAGCATGTCAGGCGGGGGGGGGGGGGCAGGGGGGGGGGCAGAGAAAGAAGAGAAGAGCCTTTTGCCTGCATTTCTCCTCTGATACGACTCTGCATGTGCTGTGCAAGGAGAAGAGATGTGTGACTGAGCGAGGCTGTCCTTGGGCCTGCGTTTCAGGGATTGGGAATTGGCGCTGCATTACGCAGCGAGTCCGGTGTCACTGCACAAGACCGCCTGCCTGCCTGCCTGCCTGCCTCTCTCGCGCTTTTATAAATGGCTTTACTTCTGACTCCCTTTCCGGGGCTGCGCTGCGAGCCGCCTCCGCGAGGATTGCGCCGTGCCGCGCGTGTGCAACGGAGCCAGCTCGGGTAGCAATTGGGCTGGCTGCAAGCAGCGGGCTTCTCTTTGCTCGGCTTCAGCTATTCTGTCGCGCCAACCAGCCCCCCCCCCCCCCCATTCCTCTTGCACCCGCTCCACACGGACGCGCCACTCTCGCCTGCCTCTACCCCTCCCACCTGAGAAATGCAACATAGGTAAACATGCGACGGGGGGAGGGGAGAGAGAGAGAGAGAGACTAGCCCTCCTCTGCCTCTTCGCTCCATTCGTAGAGGTGGCCTTAAAAAGCGAGGAGCGGGAGAAAGGGCACTTGGGGTGGTTTCTCAAACTTCCTACGTAGTTAAGAAGCGAACCAGGATGCCCTGAGTAGAACTGGAGGAAATCATTAATGTTTCATCCTCAGCCGTGGAAATGTCTTCTGTGTAGTAGTTGGACTTGCAATGATCACCTCCTAATTTCGAAAAGGTTAAAAAAGGAAGGTGGGGGGTGGGGCAGACATCATCCTATGAATTATTTAGCCACGTATTTGGGATACATTCCCCCCCCCCCCAGTGTAAAGTGTAAAGTGCAAACATGAAGACCTCCCTTGGTTAGATGAGAAACGAGGAATCTTAGAACAGGATATATTTACTGTTCAAATTAATGAAAGCACTCAAATGGCTAGATCGTGCTCCAGGTAATAAAAGATTGACATTTTGACAATTCAGTAGGGCGATGCCTGCTTTGCCTCCTTCGTATAGGAATTGGACTTGCACTGTTGCTGCTGCTGCTGCCGCCACCGTAACCTAACAATCTGAAATCTGAATTGTTTAGAGGATATTCTTCTTTGGTGCCCTACACTAATTGATACCTGCATAAATTAGCTTTTTCCTCCTTCCATCATGCCTCTTTATCACAAATGGCTTTAGTCCCCCCCACCCCTTAACATGTTCACATGGTACTTATGGAATTGCCTGTATATACTGGCATCTCTCTGCCATGAACTGCAAAGTAATCTCATTGAAGGCTGAAATATAGGGGAGATTGTGGAAAGGGGATAAGGCATTTCCAACATATACTGTTTAAAAAAGGTAAATAAAAAAGTGGTCTAATTACTGTCTAAAGTTGGATATTGTCAGGTACAGGGAAAAGCAAAGCAAAACAAAATTATGATAGAACAACATCCCACATTAGCAGAAGAAAATGCTGTCTAAATGTTCCCAGTATGCCAAACAAGATGTTTTATAACCAAATGGAAACAAAACACTGCAGTGTTTTTTTTTAATAGAGTGCCCTTCCTATCCTGATATTTATGCACAGTGAGACGTTTGTCACAGATAAACCTGGCTGATGGCATCACTCTCATGTTATGTGAGAATACATGAGCTGCAAGGCTTGTATTTTGCCATAGTGTCATCTACAGCTCCATAAGTATTACCAGGGTTTTGACCAGCTGCTGGGCACCAATATATTGAAGAATACGGAAAGACACTGATCACGTGGGGCAGTCTAATCAGCATTTCTGAAATGGCAGATAGCACAGAACAAAGTCTTCTTCCTTCTCTATTCCCACCCCACCCTGTTATTTTGAAAAAGCAAAAGGCAGCAGTGTGTGTGAATGATCAGGCATGTACTGTATTACACAGTAAGACCAGATTTGGAAAATGGTGGGAAGGGGAAGGGGAATATATTCAGCTATATTCAGCTCTCAGGTCTTGGGTTTATATGGGTGTAGCATACAAATCAGCCTATCAAAGTGCGAATACATAAAGAACTAATTATATTTAAAATGATAATAGTTCAAGAGACATTTCTAGTTTTACTATTTGATTTTCCTTTCTGATCCACTACATTCACAAGTGGGACTGGGTGGGAACTATTCTGTTCCTGCACCTAAGCTGTTTCCTGATTTTGTTGGCATTTGTATGAGAGCAACTCTCCTATCACTGGAGAGCAAGGCATTGATTTTCTTCACCTATGTTGTTCTGCAAAGTATCTGATGTGATCCTAGTCATCATGATCTGAAGGCATCTAACCTCGCAAGTATGAACTTGCTTATAAAGAAAAGTGTTTCCTGCTTCTTAGTTGGCAACAGATCTAAAATATCTTCACAAAGCCAATAGCATCTCCATTTTATTCAAATTTACAATGAAGTCAGTGTTTTATTTTCAGTAAGATGGCCAAAGAGGACATAGATGTAAGTCAAAGTAAATACATGTGGTTTCTTTGATGTTGAATACTTATTTGTACATGCATTTTACTTTTCTTTTTCAGCTATAAAAACAAGATGAGTCTTAGATAGGATGCCTTTGACGCCACTAATCTAGTTGCCATACATTGATGAGATTGTTACTATTATCAGAAGTGCTGGGAGGTTTTACGACTTCTATTATATTTTTAAAAAAAAATTCACTGAAAATAGTGACTTGGTCATTTAAAATCAACCAGCATTGTTGAAAGAAACTGCATGCTAAGAATCATAGCAACATGTGCCTGCTCATCTCTCCAGTAAAATTCTCTTAATAGTTTGGAGATTCAGATGTGATTGTTGTTTTCTAATCTCTTTATAGGTGTCCAGAACATCTTGGCATAAAAGCAAAGCATCCCATCAAAGCTTCTTTGGAACAAACAAGCCCTCTTATAAGAAAGCTGTTCTGTCAGGTCCTCCTTGGAGAACCAGCATTCAGTGAACTGGACAAACTCTTCTGCAGGAATGGTGGAAAAACCTGTTTCTGCTGCTATCAAGCTGCATTAATAGTTACAAGACTGATGGCCTTTTTCACCCCTTCCCTACTAAATCCCAAATTCATATTAGATTCTTTTATATATATACTGCAGTCTAGCATTAAGAAGCCTGTTTATTTCTTTGTCAAAGCCACAGCATTACCTATATTTACATATCTGAAGTCTCACTGTAACTCTTTAAAAATAATAAACAAAGAAAAAAAACACAATTCTATTATTTATGTGTTGCTGATTCTGCTCTTTCTTCTCTAGAGGATCCCATGTATTCCTGTAATTTCCTGATACATAATAGCAAAGGCAGGCTGCATGTGTGGGGCTAAAAATTAATATATAATAGTTGCGACAAAAAGCCATTTGTAAAACATCTCTAAGAAGCAAGTATTTTCCTCTTTCTGTTGCTAATTACAGGGAATATACACAGATTCTTACAGGAATATTAAGCTTGCTATTTTAAAAAGAAATTACCTTTTTGTGTGATTGTCATTCCATGTGATTATCTCTGGAAGTCTGCCTCTAAAATTAGATTGAAAGAAAAAAAGAGAAAGAATGGTCATTACAAAACAAAAACAACTTAAAAATGCACTGAAGACAATGTAAATTTAAAGGAAAAATCTCAGCCTTAAAAAAAAAATCTATATCCAAGACCATCATATTAACAAAGACAAAATTAGTACCAACCAAGTGACTAAGTCTGTGAGAGGAAAGCACCAGGAATTGTTCTTGCACATCTTCAGAGGAAATTAACGAGCTGGACAAGACTATCCTAAAATGGTCCTGTGTATTTTCACAGATTTTGGACAAAACAATTTCCCGCTAGAATGTGCTTCGTGGCTCTTATCTGGTAACAAAAAAAACCACTAGTGTTTACTTAAGATATCCAATCTTTTGTACAGTAAAGGGGGGGGGAGCCCTCATGCATGTGTGCTGTTTTGTATTTTGGTACCTGAAGAGTTAAGTGTTTCATTTGGAACATAAAACAAATCTTCAACAGTAAACTCTTCAACTGGGATGTAAAGCTCAGAAACTGAGAATAGAGAGATCAGATGATTTAGATTATGAAAACGCTTGGATTCTGTGGAATGGTCGGTTGGAAAGGCCAAGGAACCTACATTTACAGGTTGAAGGCAGGTCTTTCTTGAAAAAAGGCTGGAGGCTCCACCTAGCCACCACTTTCAAAATATGCATAATGCATTCACTCAGGTTTTTTAAGCTTCTATTTTTTTATGGAAGGCTTTTTGACTTTAAAGAGACAGAGACATGTCCCAATTACCTTATGAGAAGATATAGTGTTTGTGTTTATCATTTATATGCCCTTCAAAGCCTACAGTTCACTTTTATTCTTTTACTCATAGAACTCTATTATTAATAAATTAGACCTAAGCAATGACAATTCTATTTTTTAAAAAAATCTTTTTAACCTGACCATTTTTCTTTTGTCCATGAACACTGAAATTTCATTTCAGCCTTCTCTTTAAGTTAGAAAATGAATCCTATTGCATAAGTACAGTACTGTATACAGATGTGGCTTCCTTGTGTAGCACAAAATCTGGCAGCACTTATAATATAAGCCTTCTTCAAGATAGGAAGAGACTTGACTGTCCAGAGAGAAATTACAGAGACCACCTTCTGCTCCCTCAGCATCAACCTGTTTGTAGCCTTCAATATTTGGAAAATTTGAAATGCTGATGGTCCGTTTAGACCGATCCCTTTGAGGTTCAGATTGATTTGGAACCCTTTCCCAGTGGAGCTGACTTAATTCAAGCAATTTTATCAGTTCAAGTCAACTAAAAACAATTATATGAGCTTAATTACCTTATAAACGTATTATAAATCTTTCTGAGCTTATGGGTAGAAAATGCATGCAGGCATTCCTGAGCTACCAACCTGAATTGGCAATCTCATTCAGAACTAATAAAAGCAATGAGAAAATGGCCAGTGCTTCAAGAGGAGATGGACTGCTGAACCTTGAAGCTACACGTAAAAGCAAAGTTACAAACAATACCAATGTAAAGAGATTGGCCAACATGTACAGTAGATAATAATTGCATATTGTCATGCACCTGCTATTTTGTGAGTGTCTGGATGGGTGTATTCAAGATCTGTCTGCATCCTATCCTGCATTGGTGGGCTGCTCAGGTAAGACCGGTTTTCTTATTAGGAATTTCATGGCATAGATTTTCATCAATCTATATAGTACTTTCAAATAGTAGCTAAAAATTATGATAACAAGTTTGATAACAATCATTCCTCTTTGTAATATTTCTGCCATTAACTCAAAAGTCAGAACCGCAATAGACAAACAAGATCTTTAAGGTATTACTATAAACTTCATTCCAGTCTTATATAGCAAATCAATATATACCATGGATATTTTCATGGCCAAATATTTCTGTCCCAGTTATTTGCTGTTCCTGCTCCCCAACTTGGTCATTTTGTATGCTAATTAACAGACTCTCATCCCAAGCATCGGCCAGTAGGCTTCAACAGCACAAGTTCAAAACCATCCATCCATTACCAGTTCTCAAGTTAATTCATAAAGCTCACCACTTCTGTTAAGGCTTCTTCCCACTTTCCAGTGAATGGAGTTAATGGGAAGGCTAACCATACAACCTGTTTAGGGGAAACATCTCTCTCCCCCGAAACATGACCCATGGGGAGTTCACGTTCAGAGAAGCCACTTCTCGTGAATCAGAGGAACATCTGCGGCACGAAGTTCTTACAAAGTGTTTTCCTCACTCGCCCTACTCCCAGCTCTGCCCAGATAAAGACGGCCGATCCCGGCAAGTCGGCAGGACTACTTACTTTTCCGGTTTCTTCTCTTTCCAAACAGAGCAGCGCAGGAGGAGGAGGGAGAGGTCAGAAAAGAGGAACGAAGAGCTTTGTTTTGTTTTCTTTAAAAAAAAAAAAAAAAAGGAAAGGGAAAAAAAAGTGGGGGGGGGGAATCTGGTTCCAGTGGATGTTGTGGAATCTTCGGCAGGCAAGAAAAACAAAGCCAAAAGAATAGCCGAGCAGCCCAAACTTCCTGTTAATGCACACGAAACAGTTTCAAAAGTCTTCCAAGAGGAGCACCTTCATTTTTTGTTTCTTTATCTCTTATTTGTCTCTGGCTGCTTTAATTCCATCGTCCGGCACTCGCGGGGTTGATTCTAAAAATGCGTCTTCCATCCAGCAGAAAATGAAGAGGGAATTTAAAACAGACACGTTTCTCCCCCTAATACGGCGTGCACAAAGCTCCAGAGTAGAAAGTGAAGCATTGTATGTGAGGCTCTCTGCAAGTTTTTTTTTGGGGGGGGGGGGGGGGGGGTTGTCCGAGGTCTAGCCCAGCCCTCTCTGGTAAAGGAGGACGTGCTCTGAAATTCAACCAGTTCCCCAGCGCTTTTGTCGCTCGCGAACTGAAGCTCTATTGTTCGTCCATTGCCACGGTCTTTTTCAGTTCCTGCTATACGTTATGCGTTGCCAGAAATAATGAATTTGCATCAAGCCCTCTCTCATTCCTCTTCTGACAGACGGAACAAATTAGAAATGTCTAGTCTAAACGGGACCAATGGCTACATTTCCCTATAGCGGGAGACGAGAAAGATGCATTTGCGTGAATTTCTCCCCTTTCCGTTCTTTTTCACTGCCTTTGCGTTTCTTATTTAAAACCAAAAAGCCTTTTGCGTGTTTCCTGCTTTTGCTTGATATATTTCGCTCTTTCCCTTCCTAAACATGTTTATTTCTACTTTGAGACGACTGAGCTTTTATGATTAGTTCTTCGTGATAAATCGCTAATTTAACTTGACCAAGTTCCCAGTCCCGAAACTTGGGCGGATTTAATTGTTCCTATTTCTTCTCTTTCTACAACAGTGGGATTGTGTTCGATCCTTTTCGATAAAGCAAATAGCACCTATGTTTCTTGCTCTGAGGGCATGAGAGGGCACCTGTCCTACTCACCCAGAGAGTGGAAACAGAATGAGCAACAGTGGAAGAAAGTGAAAGCAAGCCAGCCAGGCAAGTGGCGTACTCGCGAACGCAAACATTGTAAATATGTGTAAAATCTGCAGCACTGATTTTGGGAGTCTATGCTCCGTTTGAATGTCGGAGTAAACGAGAGTGCAGTGGGTATTACGCGAGGGCCGAGAATGATCCCTTGTGTAAATTTGGTGCTCCAAAGATCTGGTGACAACCCGTTGGCGTGAATTGGAAGTGATAAAGATTCGGGATCTGTAAAGAAAGCCAAATCGTTTGGCTTGTATTAGGTGGCTCTGTAGAGCTCTCTTTTAGAGCCCATGGTGGTCAGTTGTAAGTGTATCCTGAGAAGTCCATTGCTGTGGGTTGGAGATGTGTGCCTGTCGGAAAGGAGGAGGCTGGCTGGGAGGAGCTTTGTTAAAAAAATATTCAAATAAACCTTTCGCATGCAAAGATGGTGGGTGGAGGTGGGGGTGGGGAGGAGAGGTAAGCTGATAATGAGAGACTGGGCGGGAGAGAGACGCTGCTTGGAGCCACAGACCTCCCTGCACTGGCTGCCACTTTCCCGCCAAATTTAGCCAAGGAGACATTAGCACTCTGACCCTTGATAGTGGCTTCAACGGTTTCCTCTGGACATCTCCAGCTCTAGAAGGGCATCCTGGCTGCGAACTTTCTGCCCCAGCCTAGAAAGGATGCGAGCACGGAAGAGATAGATTATATTATTTGGGAGTGGGGGCGGGAGAGAAAAAGCAGGCAGGCGAGAGAAAAACACCTGCACATAAACAGGCGCAGAAACCGAGAAAGACACGAAGGGTCGAGTTTTGCCTTCAGATTCAATATTTATCCCGATTACCTTTTAATTTTAAAGGTTATCTCAAGCTAATGACTCAGATAAATAATTAGATTCTGAATGAAGGAAAGAAGCGAGAGAAATACTGTATGTTAAGTCTTGGGTTCTTTTGCGCCCAATTTACAGGCGATGCTGGTAAATTTTGTACCGATGTCAGGGATACATCAAAGGGATGGAAAGGGAGGCAGGTGACACTGACCGGAGGGTACCTCCAACTTCTTTTGAAGGCAGAGCTGGATACCCTCCAAGGATGCTCCCAAGCTCCTGAGTGAAAACTCACCAATCCCTTCAAGCATAGCCAGCTCCACAAATGTGTTGCGAGATGTGGGAGGGAGGCCAGAAGAAGAGACCCCCTTCTCACTACCGCTATCGCGCCACACCCCGTTTCGTTAGCTCTGTTCCCTTTCGGCAAAATCCTGGGCGGTTAACTACAGAAATCCTGGGTCTTTTTACACAGTCTCTGGCACCGAGATTCCAAGGAGACATGTCCCGAAAGGCGAGCGCAGCAACAAGCGACTGATACGCCGGCGGAGAGGCGAATGTTTGCGAGTCTCAGTCGCACCTCCCTGGTTCATCTCTTCCTTCCCTCACTTTCTCTTCTCCTTCCACCTGCGTAGAATATCGCCGGAGGGCTGCTCTCCTCGTCCCCAGCCCCCTCTTCGTACATTCACACGTAGCACTGGCATTTCGTTCACGCCAACACCGCGGGTAACCGGCACTCGTTGGCCGGGCAGGCACCTACGCGGTCACAGTCGGGCTCTGCAATGCCTTCTCTCCGGAAAAACCGCCGCCGCCGCCGCGTCCCACTTTCGGAGAGGAGAGGTGGGGGAGACATGAAGAACTCCCCTTGCAACAGTCCCTCTCCTCCCGCCCCCCTCCAAGTATTGCATTTGTAGTAGGGTTGCCAAGTTATAAGAGTGGATGCAAATGTTTATTTTATTAGAGGGAGCAACACAGCGCTTGTTTAGAGCTGCAGAGCAACATCAGGCAAATAAAGAATCTTGGACAGGTTGGTGTCTTCTTCAGATTCCTTTCTTGGTTCGAGCTTGCTCTTGGTCCCCCCCCTCCCTTCCTGGCGGTTTCGCCGGCTGCCCTTGCCCCTCCAGTGCCAACAGCAGCGGCAGCCTCAGCTTCCGAGCTCCAGCTCTGCCTCGCCTCCTCCTTCCCTCCCTCCCTTCCCCCCCCCACTCTCTCCCTTTTTCTCTCTCCCGCTCGCTCGCTCGCTTCTCCGCTCTCATCCCAGCTTCACGTTCAAGGTTTAGCAGCGAGGTCACGTCCATTGACGTCAGCTTGAGTCTAACAGTACGTCCGGCCACATTTACATACATCAAGGAAATTAGGGCATTAAAAATATGCAAATCCTACTGCATGAAGAGGAGACTATAGATTCCCGGAGCGATCGCTTTCTTTCATGGAAGATTTTAATTAAAGGAACAATCTTTCTTTAAAAAAAAACAAAAAAAACGGGCGGGGGGAGAGAAAAAAAAAAGCAGAGCTCACCAAACCGAGCCTTTCGTCCTAAAACAGCAACAACAACCTCCCAAAAATCAAAGCCAGCAAAAGCCCAAATGACCAAGATCTGCTAAGCGCCGGGAAGGTTTCAGCCGATCGGCTTCTGCCGCTGAAGGCAAGCGGCCGGCCTGCAGCGCTGCGCGGAGAAGAACAGGTGACAAGCAGGCGGCTTCAGCCAGACGCCTCTCTCTATGCATAATCAACGCTGCGCCATTCTGCTTTCCTCCTTTGGCTGCTGCTGCTGCTGCTGCTGCTCCGGTTGGCTCCTGCATGCATTATTTTTAATACTGATGCATATGTAAAGGTATATTTGCATTTTTAAAACATTTACTGGAAGTTAAGATTTTTAGATTTTCTTTCTTCCTTCATCTTATTTTTTTTTTTTAAAGCAAAACATTTTATTTTCATTTGTTTCATGTTGGCCTTTCTACTGTGGCACTCTATAGATGCAGCTTGCTTTTGCTTTCTGCTTCTTCATTTTCTGCAGGGTTTTCAAAATATGTTTGGACATGGTTCCCTAACACAATGTGAAGCCTCAGAATCCTTTGCTTCATCTTAAAACAAGAAGACTGGCATGAATTGGCTGTGTGTGTGTGTGTTGGTTTAGTTGATCAACTATAAAGGCAGCAACTGGAAATTCAAAGTTTGATTATAAATCTCATCATAGGCATAAAAATAAAAAAGAGGGCGGAGCATCTGGAAGCTTGCATAATAGGAATTATTTAAAACACTCTCCAGCTGTCTATATGCACATTCTTCTTTGGCTTAAGAAGCCTTTCATTTGAAAATATTTTCTTTAAAGATGTGCCCACAATGAGGGAAGAGAGATTTCTATAAGGAAGACATTTTCAACCATGTTGTATGTTGCCTTCTAACTGCGGTATATTATTAATGCATTTCATTTAAACTTGTCTGGCTTTATGCCAAGTACTACTTCTTGACAATGCATCTGAGATCTTGTTTATAAAATCGGTGTTTAATAAGCAAGAGATGTAATATATATATATATATATATATATATATATATATATATATATATATACACACACACACTGAAATATTATATTTGACAAACATTATTTTGGAAGAATTGGTTTTTGGTTTTTTTTGAAAAAGATAGTAATTTAAAGTCACACAACGTTTGTTCCAATTTAACCATTACTTTGTTTCCCGAGTCATCTTTCGAAAATAATGCAGGATTGACATTCAGGAGGAAAAAAAATGAGCATACACTTATATCACATACCTATTTAAGCCAAATAAGTGCAAGCACATGCATAGGTCATTAGGCACAGCACGAATTACTTACCTGCATACATGTATAAGGTCAAAGTTAACTCTCCTCAAAGCTGAACCCATTTAGATTTTGAGAAAAGCCGGAGAAAGATTTTCGCTTTGTGTTATGCCTATATCCCAATCTGTCCACTTTGAGCTTATGCTACATCCAGCCTTACTATCATCTCCAGTTTTACGTGCCCTAAAGTGCTCATATGATATGTCACCCAATAAAAAGTGGTCAGATGGCTACACGTAAACCATAAAGAAAGGGGTGGGAAAACCACATTTTCGTCTTCCATTACATTAGTTCTTATCACACTATGTATAGAACAATACATTGCAGGAAAGTATGTGTGTGTGTGTGCGTGCGCGTGTGTATGTACGTTGCATGAATCTGGGAGTCCAGCACTTACTACTCACCAAGCTGGCCCTCTCCATGGAACATTGGGGCCATCTCGTTGATTGAGACAATCCCAACCTTTTCTAGTGACTAATTAAACCAGGTGAACTACCTTAGCTTGCCTATAGCTCTAGCCGTCCACAGACCTAAAGAGGAGAGGTGCACACAAGGCACACTTAAGTGGGATAATGATGTGTCTATTGAAGGAGCCAATATCAAAGGCATTTGTTTGGGCGTCTACTCCATCACCCCTTCCTCACACCGCGGTCTAGGTGTTGTGTGAGGATAAGCGCCCTAGAGATGCTTTGCTTATTGCTAACCGTAGCTCTCTCGCTCTCTCCCATCCCTGTCCCTGTCCCTTAGCCTTGTGCCGTGCTCCTGCTTACCCTGCAGACGGCAGCTCGGTGTAGATCGGTGGATGCTGGTGTTGGGAAAAAGATGCGCAGGGTCACCCACCGTCCAACTCTTGTGCTCTCCCCGAGCTTAGCCGTCTCCTCAATTGAGAGCCCGCTTCCCCCACAACACATTTCCACACATACAACACATACCTACACCGCCTTCCATCCAGCTGAAATTACCATATAGAGGCCTTGTCCCTGTGAATCACATCACCTGCGGACAGTGATTGAAGGAACTCAACAATCTGCACAAATCCCAACTCCTTCACACGCTGCTCTCGCTGTGAAGGCCACTTCCTTGGCCCTCCTGCATCCAGCAGCCCCTCCCTCATACCACGTCTCTTCGCCCCCACCCCACCCCACTCCTCGCTCAGCACCTCAAGTGCTTGTGCCAGAGGGAGATCAAGGGACAGCTGCCTCTTCTAAGCCATATGCCACTTAAATTGGACGGCCACGAACAATAAATATCAAGTCACCCATTATATCGCATGGCAAATTGCTCACATCTAACTCTGTACCTCAGAATTAAAATACACAACCAGGCGATGTGCATGTGCAAAAGTCACCCAATGTTCCCCCGTTGGCAGTAGCTTTCTCCATTTCTTAAGTCCAAGAACCACTTACTAGGAATTATAGGTTGGTTTAAAGAAATAGAAACTAACCCATTGAGCTTTCGTAACAGATTATTCATAGGGCGTCCAAAAGAAAACGAAACAAAGATTTTCGTCTTTCAGATTTCCCACCCTTTAAAACAATAATATTCTTATTATTTAGCATCACACAGAGCATGGGAGCACACATTTTGTATTAATATGCATTCCTTATAAGATTTGTAGGATATATTGCCTTAGATTACAACAAAAAAGGAAGGAGAAATATATCATTCTGGAAGCAACATTAGGGTGGGAATGAGGGACCAGCAGCATTCTTGGTCTATACTGATGCTTTTTCTTAAGAACAACTCCACTAAAATGAATTATATTCTGAATACACGCATATTGTGCCAATCAGCTTAACCCTACTTTGATATTAGTTTCACACTTCCTACTTCTATTCATAAATAGGAATTTCTTTTGCAAAAGGCATGATTAAAACACTTCATGAGATGCAAAGCACTTTCTAGGAATCATCTTCAAAAAAAAATCATCCCAACCTCCTGTTTAATAATAATTGCCACATGACATCTCAAGGCAAAATATAAAAGGAAATGGGAGACAGTTTTCAAGGCTATAGAAGTGAACTAGATTTCCAATCCTTGACAATTTATCCGTGTTTCAGGGAAATTTGGGAGGGGAAAGCATAGATGTGAGCAAAAGTATTAGTTAGAATTACATTTTAGTGAATCAACAACATTGGGCTTAATCAAAATGTTTACGGATAAAATTAATATGTGTAAAGCAACCAATGGGTTATGATTTTAGCCCCAACACTAACACAAGAGGCGTCATCAGAGGCATCTCTCTGTCTCTTTGTGTATGTGTGTACAGCCTTCTATTGTTTCCTGGATTTCTGCTTTTTCCTTACCAACCACCTTGCATGCTAAAAAAAAACAAAACACCAAGCACAGCTGTATTTAGAGAGAGACGGGGCTCTGATGACAGTTCTTCCCCCACTCCAATACACTAGCCTTGTGTTTCTCCACATATCCATTGTTGGGCTCACTCATAGGAGTGTATCGCCTCCAGATAATTTTTTAAGCAATGGCAAGACTTGTCCTGCTCTACCAAGATGGTCTAGTGCCAGAGGTGAGCTCACTAAAGGCAATTTGCTACCTTAGAGGTAAGGGACCATACAGCATTCCTGCTGCCCCCTTGAATGGCTCTTGATTACCCTATTCTGGCCAGCAGGGGGACAGCGACACCTACTGGCTGTCCATATAAATTATCTAAGCACTAATGGGAAAGATAAGTGCATTTGATTAATCAAGGGAAACAAGTGATTAAATAGTTAACATTGTCCTAGACTCTTAAATATATTCAACCAGGGTGGGGGTAAAGGAGCAAAATCAGTTTAGTATTTAACAATTTACCCACATGATTTCAGCTGATCTCAGTGATTAAAACCAGGAAACATAACCCTAGCATGCAATAATAAGACCCAAACTGATTGAGCTTCAGTTGTTAATCTTGAAACGCCAGATTTTTTGTAAAAACAAATAAACAGGTAACCCAATATTCAGGCAAGCAAAGCAAAGTCAGACCACTGAATGGTAAAAGTTATCTTCCTTCTCTAACAACCTAAAATCCTTCACTGTGGAGAAACATTCTCCTATTGAGGCTCAAAGGAGGAGTCAGGGCCCAAAGCTAGGAACAGATTCTCCAGTCTTGCCTTACCTTACTCCTGTTCTTAAATTCATGATTTGTCCTGGTAGAGGCAGAAGCTTTAGTGCAGAGGCTTTCCCCTCCCCCCCTCCAAACCATGGAGAGTAAAGGGAAACTTTTTTTTTTTTTGCTTTAAAAAGGTATTTCCCCTAGGGCTTTTGAATAATATTTCAGGAGCCTGGGGAAGATAGTATTAATATGGAAACTGTCTCTAACAGAGAAACTGTTCTTTGCTGGGCAAGTTGAAAATTCTTTAATGGTTCTTTCTTTCCCCATTTCTGGAATAATTAGTCCACTCATTTGAAAGGGGCCTCTGTGATGTTAGTGACAAAAAGACCATCTAGGTAATTGAGTAGACAAAAGGTCCGTAATATCTGGGACTTGCAGGAATATCTAGGATTGAAAAGTCTCTTATATATTTATTCTAATCACTAATTAAATGTTTGTGAAGAAGGTGAGAGGAGACAGATAGTAGCTTTAACTAGAAGAATACATTTGTAACACAAATCCTTGTTTGTTTTATGTCCAATTCAATTTTCTCTAGAAGAAAATTTAAATCTTGTACTCACAGTTACGCATGTAGGTTGCAATCTTAAGGCATGCATAACAGGAATTAAATCTCATTGATATCAATTGGATTTACTGTGAGTAAACATACTATGGATTTTTCTACTTGTGTTTAAACATTGATTTCTCCACAGATTAATTTGTATCTATATTTAGAGTTATATAAGTAAAATATACGACAAAGAAAAAATGACTGTGAGCATTGGGGTGTCATTTAATGACTTATCATACCTGTGCATGTAATCTCCTGCCATGCAGTCTTTTAAGGCAGATGCTTTTTGTTTGTCTGCTTATGGGAAATATATCAAAGATTCTGATGATGGATCACCGTATCCAGGCAAACATGCTTAGGATCACGTGGAGTTCTACTGTTGAGGCCGGTAATTCACGTTCGGCAAAGACCCCTTTCAATACACCCGGATTGTTCTAATGCTGTTCAAGGGTCATTTGTGTACAAATCATAAACTAATTATTCTTATCTAGAAAGATGGAGAAATCTGATTTGATGCTGTCCTATTGGTTATTCTGATCCTAAACATTTTTGGGTGGAAGAATGACTCACTGATTTAAATAGTACTTACTTGCAAGTAAAGGTATCTAGTAAAATATGTTTCTGCTGCTTTATTTAAATCAGTGATCTAATTACATTCATGTCAGAAAGAAAGGAATAGCCAGAGCATTGTTCCCTTGTAATTGAAAAGTCCCTTGTAATTGAAAAGACTACAGATGACTAGTGGGAGAAAGGTGATTGATTTCACTGGGAATGTCCTTTAAATTGATGCAAACACACTTGTTTCCTCAATGACCATCATACATAAAGAATATTCTTTGTGCATTTACTAATAGTTCTTGCATTAAATGAGTAAGCTTGGCCTGCTGCAGCAGGCTAAAGTAGTTGAAATCCAAATGTTTTGCTTAAATTGGATTTTGGGTGTGACTATACATGCCTTAATTTCATTTCTAGTTAGTAAATAAATAACCCATAATCCTTCAGAAGAAATATTGATTAGTGTTAGGAGCTATTGTAAAAACTATTTCAAAAAGATGTATTCCTTTGAATTCAGAATTGATTAAACATTCAAAAGTATCCAACTATTTCCATGCTGTAGGTTTGTGTAATCCTTACTAACTGAAAGCTTTTTTTAAATATTTAAATGTTGAGAAGGTGTTTTAATAAAAATTCCATTGCTTCCTGATTTGCATTTCCTTAATGGAACAAGGAAATCACAAAGTGTCAAGAGCCCTTAGCCTAACAACATGTCACCTTCAAAATCCACACTCTTTGTATGTCATAGCTTCCCCCCCCACAAGCTTTCAGATGGCTAATCAGTGAAAAAAAAAGAAGATAATTATTTAAGAAGTGGCAGTGTATCAGCTCTCCCTGCTCAGATTTGCTATATGTATATGCAGCCCTATTACATAACTCTATGGGAGTGGCCGGCTCTTGCAGCCATTTTCAAAAGGCATCCCCTCCCTCTTTCGATGGTTCTGCTCCCCCATCAATTCCCTGATTGTATTCTATCGGTGCAACCGATTCACGAATCTAATAATCCAGAATATTTGGCATTGACTAATTTTCAGCAGGTTCACTTGGAGTTAAAATTCACCGAAAACCATCGAGGTTCAAAATTGATGTTGAAGAGCTTTCAGCTTTGTTTATAGCCTACCACCTTATGCGTGTTTTCTGAAAAGTTTTAATTGTAAGCACATTTGCCAGATGAATAGGCATTTAAACTAAACAAACGGGAAGACGAATAGAACAGCCGTGGCCCAACTGACCCGTGGATCGTAGCGCTCCATTGAACTCTCGAGACGAAATCCTGGATTCCTCTTCTCTCCTCCAGCTCACGGGTTCAGATCAAGGAAAAGGCAATAACTGGCCTTCAGCATCAGCAGGAACACAGAACTTTCTCAGGACCAAATGGGCTTAAAGCCAGTATCCGAAGGGAAGACCGGTTGTAAGCCTTCATTCGACGACACACGGTTATCCGTCCACTAACCTCAACGGTCCCAGCGAGTTCGGGCTCCGGATAGCCAACCTTTTATTTCTGCCGGGCAAAATCACTCGCTCAACGAAGCGAGCGCTTCAAGCTTGCGAAACGATGAACGGTGCCTTTCCCGGGATCGAAATGAGGGATAGTCTTGTAAATTAGGCCAGAGAAACAGCAGATCCGAAGGCTGCTTTCTAAACCGAAATTCCTGGCTTCTTTCCCAGGCCGGGCTGTGTGAATGCGCCAGTTCACGCGGTCCTGGGATGTGCCGAAAGTAGCTCACGTGTTTGTCCTTAGAAAGGGAACCGACATGCCCAGCCCTCAAATGGGGTTTG